CCTCCCCTTTTACTTAAGCTTCAATGTGGCTTTATTTACAACTTGGGAGAGCTCAAACTGTATTTTCTTTTAGGGGAAAGGTTGAAGTTCTGAGAAACATCATTAAGAGCCTACCTCAACCTTGGGGACTTTAAGATGTGTGGACTTCAACTCCCAGAATTCCCTAGCCAGCCAGGGAATTCTGGGAGTTGAAGTCCAAACACTGCCCTACCTGAACATGCCCTTCCTCTAGCCACCCCTCTCAGTTTCACTAGAAGCTGTTCCTTTCATTAATTCTTGGAGCTTCTAAATATGGGGCAGGTTGTTCGGCCTTGCTGATAAGGCTTGTGAGAGGATGGCTTCAGCAAAGATTGAATACATGGGAATAGGGAAGGAGAAATAAGTTATGGAGATCTAACTTCCTTTACTGTTGGAAGAAATATATCTGCAGTCAGTTCTTTCCTCATTAGGGATAGCAGGAAAAGCAAATAGTTTGTGCTGGTATGATGTCCTGCTAAAATGGCAATTGCAGGAAAATGCCAGACAAAGAATTTTTGGGCTCTGATGCGTACCTTACTCTGCTGCCTCCTTCAATCCAGGATGAGCTCAGTTTCACAGACATTCAGCATTTATGTAGTATCACTGAAGTATCTATTATTATGATTATTATTACGGTATTATTAAATTTATATGCCACTCAACTCCCAGCGACTCTGGGAGGTCCTTCACTTGGGACATGTTCCCTCTTGCTCTTTCAGAGAGCACTGGGTACTAAGACTTGGGTTATATACAGTATGCATCCTTGCCCTATCTAAAAGATGGTCACCAGCATCTTCCACAGCTTTTTCAAGAATCCTGGTATTTTATTCTAGGATCACAGATATGAATGGAAACATGTTTTGGGTTAACCCATATTGTCAGAAGAGGAAGATATTTGGAGCAACATGTGCTGGTGTTGGTGTGTTGATATGCTACCGGCAATCTCTGCTGGGTGGATTTAGTGTTTTCTTTCTCACTGGACCATCCAGAGACTTAGAATTTTGCAGGCTTTTTTGAACTACTTGTAGCAGACTTCATTATTAACTACAGGAAAAATATGCACGTACACAGGGTATGTTTGCAAGTACAATCATCCTGGGGTTCTCCAACTTTGCAGTTCCACCAAAATAATTTTGTGTGACATCCCTCTCCACCCCTCCGTGAAATAAAATGAATGATTTAATCAGGATTTGGGTTAGACAAGAAACTACCACTTTTAATATTTGCATTTTAATATTTATATCACAAGTACTGCAACTGCTCTATTTTAATCAACAGTGTGTCTGCTTTGCCTGCATAAGCCTGATCAGTTGCAATCCTTCCCCCCATCTAAATTGTTCATGACTCCACGGGGTGGAGACCCACAGGTTGAGAACCCCTGCAGTAACCCATAATTTGGAGATTTAACTCAGCTAGATTCCTACAGTATAACCCTGTTGTCACACAGCATACTGAATCCCGTATGCTGGTCTGATTCATACAGCTTGTAAAATAATGGTTGTTTCCCAAAGCATGTTGAACCACTAAGTATCCAAGCCTAGCTAAGCCAGGTTGAGTGTGTTTTGTGAACTGGGCCACTGGAGTAATGCCACCAATTTAAGCATCCCCAGTGTACCAAGCCAAAACTACCCAACCAGCTTTAGTTTAATGTACTGTGGAAACCCAGCCATGGCATGAACACCTATTTACCTCAAAGGGTACTTCGGATATTTTTCTTTGAGAGCAAGAAATAAAGTGTTCTTATTTGGGCTACCAACTGAGATGGAGTATAAGGTACTGTATTGATTTAAGGCTTCTGGCAGTGAGAGTTAGTAACATTGTGGTTTGGCTCTTCTCTTTCCCTGTGTGGTTGGCAAGTTTGAAAGATTTGTGTATTTGATCACTGAAGGAATTTGGTTTAATTTAAAACACATAACTACTTTGAGTAAAAGAGCAATGCCAGAACCAGAAAAGGACAATGACATATAATACAGAAAGATGTTGGTAAAAGGCTGCAAACAATGTATGAATATGTGGCAGGTGAGATCCGCAGAGCTCACAGGCTCCATGTGGGTCTAATTTGGCTGGATATTATGACCCCATTATAAAGTGGAAAGGATGTTCATCCTGTAATGTGTTTAATATTTTGGCGCTTCTTGAAATATTAAGGTTCTTGGGTGTTGGCAAAATACAGGTAGTTCTCGCTTAACAACCACAATTGGGACTGGCAACTCCGTTGCTAAGCAATGCAGTTGTTAAGTGAGACATCACATGACTGTGACTTGCAATTTTACTGCCGGCTTCTCCATTGACTCTGCTCGTTGGAAGTTGGCAATGAAGTGCACAAATGGCAATCACGTGACCGCGGGATGCTGCAATGGTCATAAGTGCAAGGACCAGTTGTAAAGTTACCTTTTCAGCGCTGTTGTAACTTTGGTTGCTAAACAGGGCAGTTGTTAAGCAAGGGCTCCCTGTAATCCTTTTAATCAGACAAGGGGAAGCTCTGAGCGCATCCAGTACAAATGTATCTGGGACTAAGCACCGCTTCACTTAGTAGGTCTTCCTTCTGAGCAGAGTGGTATGCTGTGAAAGCTAAGTCTCCTTCAAGCTGAGCTTGTCTCCTGGTATCTTCACAGTCACCCAGTTTTCATAGCAACAACACAGACATGGTTTGCCTGTTGCTTTCTTCCAATATGTCTTCTCAGCTTCTCAGTCTAGCCTGAAGTGTTAGTGTTTTCCTGGTGGCCTCCTTTCTGAATCCTAACCATCTCTGACTCTGCTTGGCTTTTGAAAGCCATTAAGGTTAGCAACCATATGTGGTTTGTTTTGGCTTATGTGACTCAGCCATGGTTGTTTACAAATCATTTGTGGCTTATTGTGTTGTGTGAAAGCAGCAAGCCATGGTTAAGCAAGCCATGATTTAGTTCAGTATATAAACCTGAGCCTTGGGTTTGGCTATGTTTAAATGGCACATTGAACCCAAACTACCCAAACAGATTTTAGCCCACTAGGTTCTGTAAATGAGCCCATGTGCTTAGTTTAGGATTCTGTGTGCTATGGGGACCCATAACATTAAGTGGATTAAATTATGTTGTGCAAACACAGGCTTGCCAGAAATTTGAAGTCAAATCTGCTGGATAAGGGCCAACATTATTCATTGTCAACTCTTTGGGTAGTTGGATTTGCACAATACCCTGAGCTATAAATCTGCCAACTACATTTTAGCTAAGTCAATTGTGCGAACCCAGCTTGTGATCAAGTATAGCTATGTTTACAGAACACATTTGCCCATAGTTGTTTTAAACATGGCTTATTCAAGTAGCCCCATTTTCTAGATTTTCGTGACATGCCATAGCATAAACTAACCACACTGCTGGGTCACAAACCAATTCTTCCCTGAAAAATTGAGAAATACAGTAAACCTTTCTCAAGATCCAGGAAAGGAAGGGGGCATTTCTTCTTTAGCATCTAACTAGACAACCCGTGACCCATTGGGTCATCGTTTCAGAGATATTTCCTTACCTAAAGTGAGAAACAGAATGACCAAGGGCAGAAAACAGTGGGAGTATGAGCAACTTATGACTTGCTGCTGGCTTCCCCATTGACTTTGCTTGTGGGAAGCTGGCAGGGAGCGTCAGAAATCTTCCTTTCCACATATAGCATAGGCTTGCACCATTTGCCCTCCCCTCACAACCCTCAGGAGCCGCCTCAGCTCATCCGCGGAACTGCCTGCCCCCCAGCCAGCCCTACCTCGCCACCAGGCATCCAAGTCATTCCCTCATCCTTCCCTCAACGCCCACCACCATTAAGAGATTTCAAATTTCTGCCTCTTCCAAAGCAGCCAATTGACTGGGCACAGGGGACAGAGGGAGGCAGGAAAGAGGTTGAGGATACATCCGTGACAATCATCTGACCTGGGCTGACTGTGGAGGCACAGCGGGGCTGAAGTGACCACAGATGTCCCCATTTCAATCCTACGGGAGTCATGAGTCCCAGACTTTGGATGCAGTTTGTAAGTTAGCCCATTGGTTCAAAAATTGTTGCTCTGTGACGCACCATTTCGTCCAGTTGAAGGTTACAGACAGGAAAGTTTTAATAGGATATGGATGACTCTTTCCCCCTCCCCTTTGGAGCACCCTTTCTGCACTCGGAGAGAAGTAATTTCCAGGAATTAGGCACAACTGCTTCAGATTTCCCCTCCACGTCTGGAATGTTGTGTTGGAATGGAATCTGATCTGATTATATTTGCAGGTTTTGTAAACTAAGTGCATTTCTAAATAGGAGACTGTGTGCCTTCCATGCCTTTACAGGCTTATGAAGCAGTTCCAAATCTGGAAGCTGTAAAGTCTGCTCCGTTGGTGTTTTCTAATGCTTCGAGACGTTTCTGGACTTTCATTGGGGATTGCTAAGAGCCTTCAGGCGCCCGAAGTGTAACGCGGTCAATTACTAAATAGCCCTCTAATAGAGAAAGCCTGTGCTGCGTGAAGCCATGGGGAAAGCGGGCGTTTCCATAGGTGCCTCTCATCTGGCGGGGTTGAAGAGGCAACGATCCGGTTTAAGGCGCTGCTCCCGCCGCCCGCGCCTTCCCGCTTTTGCCGGCTGCACGCGCAGTCTTTTGGGCCGAGTGGGCGCACGCCGGGTTGCCGCTTTTACTCTTGCCCGGGAGTAAGCGCCGGAAAACTCGGTGGGACTGACTGCCGGGCAGCCTGGCGGAGATTGGATTCAGCTCTGGCGATCCTCCGCTCCCGCGTTTGGGGATCTAGCCGCCGGCATAATCTAGGGGGAGAGGGTCAGTCTAGCAACGCCCCCGCATCCCCGATTCCCCATCGGTCTTTCGCAAGCCCGGTCTGGACACGTGAACTGGAAAGGCCGCTCTCCAGAAGAGAGACGGACCTGGCAATGGACGCGCTTGGCCGCTCTCCCCTGCCTTTGCGGGACGGAGAGCCTTGCGGCCCGCCAGAGTCTGACTCTCGGGGGCTGCAGGCGC